TTACTGCATTAAATTATTCATAATGTATAGTAATAAACCTACAGCCTTTGATATTCCAGTGCCTCCTTTTGTGTTCTGAAGACTGTGGGGTTTGAAGCGACTATCGATAAAAGAGAAAGGAACAAAATGGTCAGTTTACACCTCAGCAAACCTCCTAACCGGAGCCTAATAGCAATTTATTATGTATCTTTAAAATGCAATTATGGTACCTGAAATTTTTCAAAGAAATGCTTCACTAAAGTGAGACAAACCATGACTTGGCTGAGATTGTGTCTCACCTCATGAATAATACCCCATAAACATGCACAGTGCACACGCAAGCTAACCCCCTAGTTGTCTTTCTCAGAAGTAGTAAAGCATAGGATAGCACATACTGAGAGAAGTAATTCAACACCTGTGTCCCGCTGGTCACCTTTAATGGCTCTGCTCCCTCTTTTTGCATGAAGCAATCAGTAATAGGGTGGCTCTTCTTAAGGCTGACCACGCATCTAACAGGCAGTTGCAAATGGCTAAGTGGCCCCTGCTTCCGCAAATGGCTCTGGACGAGCGTGACGCCACCAGGCACTTTTCGTCCAGATGTCCTAGGGAAGGGATTACTGGTCATGAAACGTCCATCGCCGCCATAATTGTGCATTCAAAGAGGTCAGTGTATTCAAGTCCAAGGACCCCTATTCGCATAAAAGGGCATCGCAGGCGGCGTATGGAGGTTGAAACAGCGGAGAGTGAAGCATGAAGCAGCCGGCTGAGAGGGAAAAAAATGGAAATGGGAGTGTGAGGCCGATTCATGGAAGGTCTTGGATTCTCTCCTAAAGACTTTGTACTTTATCATGTAGGCAGTAAGTAGCAAGCGTCAGATCTTTTGCACAAAATGGCGTGAGCATCTAGATACTAACACACAGGAGTGTTGTAGAAGCCACGCTTGCGCGTGTCTGTGGACCGCCTGCCATACATCCTGGGTTCTTTCCACTACACCTTTGCCCTGGCAATTCACCCCTAGAATTCTCCCTTCTCTTCTGTGCCCATTTAACCTAACCATCCTTGATGAACTCACAATTATCCCCTCTACTGTGTTTCGCCTTAACATCCTATCTAAAAGTCCTTATTATGCTTTAACTACCATTTTAAATTGATTTTGGGTGTATGATTTTTCACCTTTTAATGTCTCTGGAATCCAGATGCACCTTACAAATGATTAGGCAGAAGTCGTGAGGTCACGCTCTCTGCCTGGGCATGTGCTACTTTGGCCATAAAGGTTATTTCTTCCATTTCCTCAATTGAGTTATGTACCTAGTTAACACTAAACATGTTAAGGTTAATTGCCTTTTAAAATGCCTTTAAAAGACTACACTGTGCTTCCCTAGTGAAACACAAGGTATGGTGGATGCAGAGCAGAGGACCATGAATTTGAGATTAGTGAAGCAAGTATTTAAAAGTAACACCCAGGGCACCTGGGCGGCTCAGGCGGTTGAGTGTCCAGCTTCGGCTCAGGTCATGATCTTGCAGTTTGTGAGCTTGAGCCCAGCATCGGGCTCTCTGCTGTCAGCCTGTCAGCCCAGAGCCTGCTTCAGATCCTCTGTCTTCCTCTCTCTCTGCCCCTCCCCCGCTTGCATGCGCGCTCTCTCTCTCTCTCTCTCTCAAATAAATAAATAAATAAATAAATAAATAAATAAATAAATAAAACACTCAAGTGCTTTATGGGGCCTATGAGAGGAAAATACCACATGTAGTTAGATGAAGCCAGTTTGTTTCTTTATCGAGATATTTGCAAAAGGCTTGCCATCACACCCTTAGCCGCACAGCTGATGGCCGGAGCACAGCCGGATCCCTGAGAGTAGACAAAAGAAATGTTAAACCACAAGAGGCTGGTAGGACCTATCCTTGCATTTGCAGGACTAACCAGGTATGTTTTTTATTTTATTATTATTTTTATTTTCCTAATATTTATTTATTTTTGAGAGGGAGAGGGAGTAAGAGACAGAGTGCAAGCTAGGGAGGGGCAGAGAGAGGGGGAGACATAGAATCCGAAGCAGGCTCCCAGCTGAGCTGTCAGCACAGAGCCCAATGTAGGGATAGAACTCACAGACGGCGAGATCATGACCTGAGCCGAAATCAGATGCTTAACCGAATGAGCCACCCAGGCGCCCCTAACAAAGTATGCTTTTAAAAGTGTTTGGTTTGGTTTGGTTTTCTTTATTTCTTAACTGGATCTACAAGAATATGTGACTTTAATAACAACAAAATCTTTTTAAAATTTGTTTTAATGTTTATATTTGTGAGAGAGAGAGAGAGAGTGCGAGCTGGAGAGGGGCAGAGAGACAGGGAGACACAGAATCTGAAGCAGGCTCCAGGTTCTGAGCTGTCAGCATAGAGCCCAATGCAGGGCTCAGACTCACAAACCAGCAGATCATGACCTCATGATCTGAGTCAAAGTCAGAGGCTTAACCGACTGAGCCACCCAGGTGCCCTGATAACAACAAATCTTACAATTAGTTATAAAGTTTTTGAGATGTAATATTTTTTCTGCCATGCCTTTTTACTTTTCATTTTTTTCCTTCATTTATTTTTCCCTTGTAGTTGTCATAATCACAACCAGACTATAGGCTACTTGAAGGGAGGACCCTTTTCACATTGTCCTTTATATCACTCTGCCACTTGCCCAATGCCTTCTACCGATAAGAATTTTCATATGTTAGGGGCGCCTGGGTGGCTCAGTCGGTTAAGTGTCTGACGGTCTTGGCATCAGGTCGCCATCTCATGGCTCACGGGTTCCAGCCCCACATCAGGCTCTGCATTCATGGCGCGGAGTCTGCTTGGGATTCTGTCTCTTCTCTCTGCTCCTCCTCTGCTTGTGCATGCTCTCTCTCTCTCTCAAAATGAATACATAAACTTAAAAAAAAAGAATGTTCCTATGTTGGAAAGGAATGATTGTTTTGTGATGATACATTCCGCACAAAGAGAAAGGCATTTAACAGAGAAGTTGGAAATGAGTTTCGGCCAGGTCTAATCCACCACATTCACAGCGGTTTTTTTCGGCAGTGTGGTCCAGTGGAGAGAACAGCAACTGTGAGATACACCTGAGTTCCTTCACTGGCACCATCCCTGATGAAATGGATAAATGTCACAAACAGCCAACGCCACTAACCTCCCTAAGCCGAGTTTTTCAATTGCAAAAATAGGCATGATGGTACTAACTTACAGCAATGATGCTTAACTGGGAAAAAAATGTTTAGCATCTTGTGGACTAAGGGTATATATTCAACACGTGTCAATTTCCTTCCCCTTCACTTTCTCTTTTGATTGTCCGTCTGCACAAGAACTGGGGACGCTTAACTTGTATGAGCACTTCTGTTGCAATCACATGTTCTATACTATGTTCAGAGCTGGCTGGGTTTTTTAAATTATTGTTGTTGTTTGTTTTTTTTTAACGTTGACACACCTCACCATGTATCATCTGGAATGTATCATCAGAAATCTATACTTTTGGGGCGCCTGGGTGGCGCAGTCGGTTGGGCGTCCGACTTCAGCCAGGTCACGATCTCGCGGTCCGTGAGTTCGAGCCCCACATCAGGCTCTGGGCTGATGGCTCAGAGCCTGTTTCCGATTCTGTGTCTCCCTCTCTCTCTGCCCCTCCCCCATTCATGCTCTGTCTCTCTCTGTCCCAAAAATAAATAAAAAACGTTGAAAAAAA